AAAAAAAAGAAAAAATTCTAGGAAAAAGAAATAAAAGAAAAAGAGAATGCTAGGGGGAAAAAAGAAAATGCTAAAACAAAAGGGTAAAAATATAGAAAAAACACTAGGAGAAAAATTTTCTTAACTAATATGTACTGATGTTAAATCAAAACAATCACATTTAGTAATTAGATTATTCTATTACATATCGATTATATCAAAATTTAAATTAGATACGATGTTGAATTGACGAGATGTCCGACAAAGGGAACCGATGATTGGTTCGACTTGATGCCATAAAAAAAATAAAAAAAAGTTAGATTGGCATAGGAAATAAAATTTGGAATTTTGACTATGATTAATCATGGCAAAAATAGACATCCTTAGGAGGTAAACCTTAAGACTAAACTAAACGTGGCACCTTTCGTAGGAAAGGATGCCTTTGGGTGATTGACATCTTTCCAAAGTTACAACCAACGTTTTCTTCGAAAATCTCCGAACTAGTGCTTATTTTAGATTCCTAATTCCTTCGATACTAGGTGGAGACTGAAATTAAAATAAATAATCGACATCCTCAAATAAAAAAGATTTCCACCAAATTAATCATAAATACTAAATTTCAAAAGTCTCTCGAATGTCGAGTGGCAACAACTTTTAGTATTCTTTTTTGGATTTATTGCTCTCCTATTTCATCATTAATATTTTTGCATCATTGATATGTTAATATATCTTTTCCCCTGTTAAGAACAAGCACAAGATTGAACGGTTATACATATGTAAGGGGAAAAATTTAGAAATTGGGCAACATATCATTGTCACCTATTACACATATGTTTAAAGGATTCATATATTGCCAACAAGTTGTTGACCCGAGTAGTAAGCAAGCTAGTTTTTAAGCGAATTTTCTACTAATGTACATAATTCGAATCCCGGAATTGTTCTTATCGAAAGGGATTAAATTTTATCACTTCTACCCTAAATATGATTAGCATAATCTTCGACATGGGATGAGAATATACTTAGGTTTTTTTAAAAAAACCTATAGATTGACGCAATTGTCCATAGAGTATTTGTAGTTATATTTTGGATGCCTAGACAAATATCGCAATAAAGAGGACTCGACGCAAGTTGTTTTGAAGACTACTAGTCGGATACCCGTAGCTACGTTATGGGCGGACAACCGTTACATACGTAGGGTTAACGATTCATATAGTGTAATGCTAGTAGAAAGTTTTATTTTTTGTAATTAATATAAATCGAATCTATATATAGTTAATTTGTAATAAAACTCTCTCTCTCTCTCTCTCTCTCTCTCTCTCTCTATATATATATATATATATATATATATATATATATATATATATATATATATATATATAACATATTGAGAGTACGTAGAATAAATGAAAAAATATAAAAAAAACCCACCTAAAATATAAAAATATATTGAAGTCAATAGATTAAAATAAAAACTACAACAAAATTGGTTCTAATAAATTTTGAATAAATATATAAAAAAGCAAATAAAACTTGCGAATTTTTTAACTCATTATTTTAAAAAAAAATTAAGTCAAACTATCTAAAACATACTTTTGGCTCTCTCTCTCTATATATATACACACACACACACACACACATATTAAAAAATAAAACACTCATTTAAAAATATAAAAATAATTTCTTGTATAAATTATAATAATATATTTTTTAAAAAATAAAACATTGACGTTGCAAAATTTTATCCCAAAATTCATATATTAAAAAACTAAATTTATTAAGAAAAAAATTATCGACCATTACAAATTTGCAAATATATATATATATATATATATATATATATATATATATATATATATATATATATACACACGAAGAAAAATACAAAAAGAAAATGGAAAGAATGCCAACTTGGGCACCAAGGCTTGGATATGTGAAGAAAAAAAAAAGAGGCGGTCAGTTCGGGTAGGCAAAGCTCGGCGCATGCGTGCCCAAGAGCTAAGCCTTGGTTCGCTGGTCAATCCAGCGAGTAGAGAAGGAAAAACAACGAACAAAAGAAAACAAAAAAACCGAGGTACTATTTATTACTGTTCACTTATCCAAGTTCTTTTAGTTTTTTAGGTAATACTTGGCATGGTGTAAGTTGCTTAATAAGAAGTCCTTTTGGCAAGGTCGTCGGCAAAGAAACGAACTATGATAATTATAAATAATAATAATAATAATAAAGACAATCAAATTAGCATTAAAACCTTCTATAGTGTAGCACTTAGACATGTGCTATAAGAGAAAAGGATGAATAGAAAATGATAAATAATTTTATTATTAATAAACTTGTAGTTGAATATCGACATAATCTATAGAATTTTTCCTTTAAAAAAAATAAAACAAAACCAAATCTTTCGAAGTATCTCTAAATCCCACGAGCCAATTCACACTTGTTTTATTATTATTATTATTGTAAAATTTAGATCATTCAAAGACATGTATCTCATATCTAAATGTTTAGTACATACTAGTTGATTGCCCACGCTACGTTGTGGATCCGATAGAATAAAATCATTTTAAAATTTTAAAATTATAATTATAATTTTTTATTTAATTAATTTTTAATAATATATTTTTTCATAAATTTTTTTGCTTAAAAAAATATAAAGCATTCTTCTTTATGGATTGATTTTAACTAAAATATTAATCAAAAATTAAAAAAAACTTTTAAAATATATTTTTCATAATATTGTATTCTAAAAAATAAAGTTATAATTAATAGATAGACTTTTATAAAAACTAACAAATGGGGAAAAAAATTCTTATTTAATGCTGATGAGAAGATTTATTTTTGAAATTATCCACACAACACTATGGATAGATAGAACAAAATTATTTCAAAATTTTATAATGTTTTCATTAATTTTTTATTTAATTATTAATTTTTTTATGTTTTTCATAAAATTTCTATTTAAAAAAATGATTTATTTTTCTTTATTTAGGAAATCCTAAATAAAAGCTGTTAATATATGATTTAAATCTGAAATATTAATTAAGAATTTAAAAATAAATACTTTAAAAATATATTGTTTTATAAGAATATACCAAAAAAAATTAAAGTTACAATTAATATATAGACTTGCATAAAAATTAACCACTGAAAAAAATAAAATTTTATTCTTATTTAATGTTGATGAGAAGATTATTTTTTTAAAGTATATACATTTGATCTATATATATTATATAATCGTCGACTTGTGAGGAAAAAAAATAATGATTGATTTTTAAAAATTTTAACACCCAATTAAATTTTAAAAAATAGCATAAATTGATGGAAAAAATCAAAGGAAAAAAAGAAGAAGAAGAAAAGGCATGTAGTGCATCAACTATGGATTAAAATCTTTATTTTAAAACTTTAGGGATCAAAAACGAATAATTTGAAAATTACAAAAAAAAAAAAAAAAAGAAAGAAACCTAAGAGTGAATAGTACATTGTGAGGGTAAAAAAATGGAGTGAATAGTTAAAAAAAAGTTTAGGATAGTAAACTTTATTTAGTTTTAGTATAGCAAGAATAAAAATCAAACATGATAAAACTTTAATAACTAAAATAAAAACATATCATAAAATAAGAATAAAAAAGAACATAAATTTTTACTAAAAGCCAAGAAAAAAATTATTATAGGGATAACAATCAAATATAATAAAATATTTAATTTTAGTATAGTAAGGATAAAAATAAAACATGATAAAACTTTAATTAATGACTAAAATAAAAACATATCACAAAATAAGAATAAAAAAAGAACAAATTAACCTTGAAAGTTTTATCTGGTATCGATTTCCTTTATGCACAGTGTGATCCTTTTTTATAACTCTAATAAAGTGATGATGAAATGCAAAATGATCTCTTTTGTTCGCAATCTCTAATGCAAATTTGATCTTTCTTTTAAGTCAGCAATTGAGCTCTCTGTTGATGTGTTGCATCCTGATATTGGGTTCAGCCTCTCAGGAAAGCTAAGCTCCCATCTGGATATAAAGCTGGAAAGTATTGCCTTTTGTGTTCGTTAATGTCTTTGAGCAGATGAAATTATTTTGTGCGTAGTCAATGACAAACAATTAAGCATGAATTAATTGTTTGTGCAAGGATATAGTAATATATGTCATCTACACCATATGGCTTTGCTCTGGTTGTAGTATTTTCTGCTATAGTTTCATGCGTGCCATCTCTGGGATCCAAAAAATGCTACTCTCTGGGATCCCTTGCTTGATGTTTCATTTTCATGCTTATTTTTTCCAATTTGATTAATTATTATATACCCCTAAAATTAATTCCAAACAGCCCACATGCCAATAGTCAATAGTCATAATATCTTTTTTCTATCACTCATTTAAAATTTTGTTATTCAAATTTGAATAAAATTGTCTAATCTAAAACACATATTTGCCACAATTTATTGGGGAAGACAATTAGCTCTCAAGATTTGAAGAGATCACAACCAAATCTCAAATACATGAAAGGAAAGAATATTGATTATTAAATGAGATAAAAGCACTCATATTCTTTGATGTAATGGTTTATAACTCTATAGAATAGGGTTTTGTAACTGCCAAAAGATACTAATTGAACAATAACTACAACGTTTTAATAATATATTATAAACTAAATAGATTCTTAAATTTTATGTATGAAAATTTATGGTAATTGTTAAGGAATTATTACTTCGATTCTTTTATTAAATATTGTGATTTTGTAATTTTCAAATGATAATAATAATTCTACTACATGCATTAGAGTGCAGATTCAAAATGGACAAAAGCCTATAGGCTAAATGCTAAAGGAAACCACAATTAATTTTGAATTCATGTAATTAATTAATAAATTTCATCAATTTAATGTCTCACATTATTGATAGTTAACACTAAATATAGCGGTCACCTTTTTAACAAAGAAAACGATTAGTTGGTGTCATTTCAATTATCTTTGACACAATACACTTCTCTTAACAAATCCTCAATTTCTGCAAGTGATAAGAAACACATGGCCCAAAATGGCAGTTCTTGTTTTGGCAATGGTATCACTGTTTGCTTTGGTGGAAGTAGTGGCGGTGGCAATAGCAACACTGGAGGAGGTGGAGGTGGAGGTGGGGGTGGAGCGGGTGGAGGTGGAAACAAAAAGCCTGAAGAGTTGCAACCATATCCAGTGAAAGAGCAATTACCCGGTGTCCAGTATTGTATAAACAGCCCACCTCCATGGCGTAAGTACTATTTTGCTTTCTTTTACCCCGTGTGTGTGTATATATATTTTCATCAAATTGGTTTTGTAGAGAGCAAGCGAAATTCTTGCCAAAGACTACAAAGAAAAAAAATTGAAGAATTGTTAAAATACATTATTGATAAATAAAACTATAATACTTGTCGTAGATCGAGCAGAAGAAAAGATTTCCTTGAGGATGGAGTGAAATCAATCATTTGAATATTGCTTTATGGGGAGAAAAAATAAATAAATAAAAGAGGGAACGACGTGGGATGAGCAAGGGTTAAGTGGCAATAAATAGTTGGCAGTCAAAATAAACATAAAAGCAACCGATAACCAGCAGCACAATATGCTCACCTAGGATTCTAATCGTTTTCTAAAATAGGTCATTTAGTAACATAATTGACTAATTAATAACCCAAAATAGTCCTATTATTGGATATTTTGTGAATTCAAATTCTTAGATCTCAGTATGTATCACCAAACAGTTAAAATTTTGAATTAAAATGATTTTTTACATTCTCAATAATCTTTTTAGCAAGGAAATTAATGTACATGTATAATAATTAAAAGGTTAATTATCATAAATAATTCATACTAATTTTAGATAACCATCAAAGAAGTTTTTTAGGCCTTTTATTTTGCAATTTGTTATAATGTTTTTATGGTTTATATATCATTGTTACATACTCTAATTTCTTGTTTCTTTTTTAGAACTATCTTCTTCTTCTTTTTTTTAATCGTAGATATTATTGTTATTTGTTACTTTTTAATATATATATATATATATTTGTGAGATTGATACTACTTCATGTGATTGTCGTATCCATTTTAATAATGGTAAAGGAAAAAAAATGACCAATCGTACTTTTTTATGCACAGTAGAAGCTCTTGTAATGGGTTTCCAACATTATATTTTATCTCTTGGTATGATTGTGTTGATACCGAGCATAATCGTTCCTCGAATGGGCGGTGGTGATGTAAGAACTAATTATCGTATTTGTTTGATGTTTCTTTGAATTTCTTTTTTTTTTTTTCTCGTATTCTTAACGTTAGGCATTAATATGTTTGTAAATATTACGAGTTGAAAAGGCTAGGGTGATACGGACTTTGCTCTTTATATCGGGATTGAGCACATTTTTTCAAACTTTATTTGGTACCCGCTTACCATCGGTAGTCGTGGGTTCCTATACATATATGATACCAACTACATCGATTGTTCTTGCTAGCGAGACATTCTTCACTATTGGATAACCATGAGGTAAAGTTTAATTTACACTTTTTTTTCTTTTTTCTTTTTTAAATATATATATTTATTTATTTATTTAAGTTGATTGGTTCTTAATTATCTCATTTTGAACTTCTTTGATATATTTTTTAGAGGTTTGTCCGGACAATGAGAGCAATACAAGGTGCCCTAATTATTACTTGGTTGCTTCCAAATGGTGATGGGATTCTTGGGTTTATGGAGAAATATAGTGAGGTGAGCTATCTTCGTTAAATTTGATGGCGGCATAGATCGAGAATGAACGAGTTCATTTCTTATATCATAAAAATCATGTCGTATTGTTTGATTGAGATTGTTTTTTTTTTTTTTTTATAAGGTTTCTTAGCCCCATCTCTGTTGTTCCACATGTAACATTTCTTGGACTTGGACTCTATTATCTTGGCTTTCCCACGGTATTGAATTCTAAATTCTTTAATTTATACTTTTATTTTGTTTATATCTAATTATTGTGTCCGTATGTGTGCAAATGAAGACGAAATTAAGTTTGATAAGCCTATGAATCGAAAAAATAATAATTCTAATTAATGAACTTCCTCTTTTCTACTTCTTTTCAATTAGTTGGCAAAATGTATTGAAGTTGGACTTCCGGGAATAATAGTTATGGTGCTTTTCTCACGGGTTAGTAGCACATTTCATTTTATTTTTATTTACTAATTTGTTCCATCATATATTTAATTTTGTTTGGCTATAATGAAACCAACATTACCAATTTAGGATATTTGATGATAAATTGCTACTTCTTTATTATTATTATTATTTTCTTAATTATAGCGCCAAATAATTTTATAACTAGATACTTGCTTTTGCGGTATCTTCCCCATTATGTACAATCAACGAGGCCTATATGTGATCGATTTGGAGTCGTTATTCTCGGCTACAATCACATGGTTATTTGCGCAACTTCTAACCACAAGCACGAGTGTATAATAAGAAATGCGAAATCACTCAAATGACTTGTCGTACCGATCGTCTTTGGACTTATCAGTGCATCCCCTTGGTAAGATTAGATAGGAAAATTAACTTAACTCATCTAATTTCTTACGGCTTTTTTAAAAAATTTAATATTATTATTTGATATAGCATGTCCAATAATGGTTTGTATTTCACGGTTTAAAGCTTAGATATGCTTCTAAAACAACATTAATTTGGTTTGACACATGATACCTAACACTTGTTCGTCAATTTATGTGACTTGTATAAGTGAAATCAATACAAAAATATAATATTATCCATTGTTGAATTTTTTGTGCTTGATTGACATTAATTATTTGATGCTTTGCAATTAAATACGGGATATACATTCCTTTTCCATTTCAATGGGGAAGCCCAACATTCAAGGCTAATGAAGCTTTCGCGATGATCGCTGCTTCTTTTGTTTCTCTATTTGAGGTGCATTAATTTCTAAGCTGAGCTTGTTTGATCACAAAAGAGAAGCCTTATGAAAGTAATTTGATACGATACACTTTTTTCTTAATTGAATTGCAGTCGATTGGTACATTTTATGCAATAGCAAGGTATGGAAGTGCCACTCCCGTACCACCTTCGGTTGTTAGTCGTGGCACTTGGTTGGTTGGTAAACATCCTTCTATGATCTCGATGTTCACTAAAAGTTGTGATTTTGTTGTATCGATCCTTTTCTTTTTTCAACATAACTTATGCAATCTTTCTCGACTTTCGGGGAATTGGGGTTTTGCTAAATGGCATTTTTGGTTGTGTAGTTGGTTTTACTTCATCGGTGTAATGAATTAAAGCTTTATGCTTTCTTATATTGCGTTAATGTGATCTAATCTCCAATTATTATATAATCTATATCATTCAACAACTAGTAACCTTGTATATTCCTATACATATAGGTATAATTTGTTATAGTATAGCTCATCCATTTATGAAAAAATTGACATTAATCTAACCTACCAATTTAAATAGAGAAAATGCGAGGTTTATTGGCATTGACAAAAGTTGGGAGCCGAAGAGTGATTCAAATATCGAGTTTGGATTTATGATTTTCTTCTCTTTATTTGGTAAATCACTTATTTTACAATTCATAACGCAAAGTTTCTAATTTCTTGTCAAAAAAATTCGCTAGAAAGTTATTTCTAATTTCTTTTCGGCTTTCGGATTTCTCATGATTGCTAACTCGATGTTCTTAACCGGGAAAATTTGGAGCATTTTTTGCATCTATACCTTTACCAATCATAACCGCTTTGTATTGTGTTTTATTTGGTTATGTTTGTAAGTAAATCTTCTTATCATTTTATCGGCACACAAATATATATATATATATATATATATATATATATATATTATGCATTGTTGATTTTCATTGACATAATTCAATAATAGTTGTCTTTAAATATTTTACACGGCTTACGCGAGTCTTGGTTTCCTCCAATTTTGCAACCTAAACGGTTTCGAACAAAATTCATATTGGGATTTTCTTTCTTCATCGGCATTTCGGTACCCCAATATTTTAGAGAATATCATCAACATGTGCCGTGCACAGTAGCTATAGATGGGTAACATTCTTCGACTTGTGGTTATATTGATTAACCAATTTAGTACTATAAGACTTTTATTTGACTTTCTTTCTCTTTTATTCAATGGAATTGCGGTTTCATGACATAGTCACTATCATTTTCATGTCTCATACAACCGTTCTTTGCTTTGGTTGCGTTGTTCTTGGATTGCACACTAGCACGTGAAAGTGATGAGACAAAGAAAGACATTGGTTTGAAGTGGTGGGAGAAGTTCGGTTTATACAATTCGGATGTTAGAAATGATGAATTTTATGCACTTACCATGCAAGCTTAATGAGTTATTTCCCACCCTTTAACTTTAACTTTTGATTCCTTATTAGATGCTACATTGTCTTTTAATTTAATGAAAAAGTAAAATCAATGAAACAATAACCATTTTGATTTTGTGTTTATGCTTAATCCTTTTTATACAATTCGGTAAATTTCGTTTTGATTTTTTTTTTAACGTGGGTGTGTGTGCATATATATATATATATATATATATATATATATATATATATATACACCATTAATTTTTTCCTTCTTGATCACATTGAATGTTTACATGTTTGATAGTGAAAAGAGTAATTCAAACATAATATACCATAACCCAAAAGGGTTGGTTTGATCGGAATGAATTCTAATTGTTTAATCAAGTGGTCTCGGATTCGAATCCTTATGTATGCAAAAAACTCTTTGGGTAGTTGTGTCCATCTTGTATGCCTAACAAAACAAGGAAGGATTAGTTTGGATCTTTAAACATGAGCTACATTAAGGATCCAAAATAATAATAATAATATACCACATGTAATTTAAGAAACCCTCTAAATTGATTAATCATATAATTGATATATTATTCATTGTCTCATAGATATGATTATATGAAACTTTATCTTACAGTGTAATTAAATTTTTTAAAGGAAGATAAGAAATTGATATGTATATTATTATCCAATAAACAAGTATACTAGTAGCTCTTAGATTTTCAAATTTTAATTTATTCCAAATCTTACGGTTTAACTTCAGCTACATACTTCTCATTAGTAAATTTTTCACATTCAAAAAATAATTTTATGACTTTTTAGATTTAGATTTTTTATGCAATGTATTTCTTTATATTGAGTAATTTTATAACTTTTAGATTTTTCAATTATGTATAAATTTTCACTAGAGCTCTTAGAATGATATAATATATCACTACCAAAATTTCATTAAATAGCAACATATTTTTCTATTACTATTTGTCAAAAATTCGTTGCTAAATACAATTAGTGACGGATTTGTTAAAAGAAATTTGCTAAATAGAAATGGATTTTAATGATAAAATTTAAACCAACACTAAATAACATCAAATTAGCTTCCATTACATTTAGCGACGGAATAAAAACAGATTTGAGACTCGATTATCAATGGTGGATAAATTTCTGTCATTAAATATGGCACAAAAAATTACTTAGGACTTTTAGATACGGATTAGCTATAGAAAATAACGACGGAGTTATTAATAATGTTGCTAAAAATTTTTGGCTTTAGCAATTGCTAAACATTCACTATTTAGTAACAAGAATATTCTCAACACTAAAAGTTGAAAATTTGGGCGGCCTCTAAAAATTTAAAGGCATGCCAAATGTTACTATTTAGCGATGGATACTAAATGTTGAAACTTTGGATAGCCTCCGGAAATTCAAAAACGGGATAAGGTGACTTTAATCTTTTCTACATGTAATAAATTATTTACCTATACTTGTTTCCTAGTAACCACAATACTAGGTAGAAACTTCATTGATTTTTGCTCATTTCACTATTTTGTCGAAACTTGTTGCCCTCGCTGCGACGTCACCCTGCGACGGTTTCAATAGAAAGAGAGAGAATGATAATGAAAGGATTTTATGTATACTTATCGAACTCCGTAGGGAGACTTATGAGGACTTTTCCTAATAAAGTTGAGGATGCTCGTTACCATACACTTGATTGGGTCACGTAGTGATGGGTGGTTGTGAACGGTAGTGGTTAAGGATGAAGGCTTGGTGGTATAGAGGTTTTGGCTAGCTAGTGGGTGGTCTTGGGAAAGTGAAAGAGAGAACAATGTGTTTTCCACAACATATAATGCTTTAATTTAGATATTATCCGTAGAAACCACATTGTAGTACACAAAATCTTATATTATACAATAATCATACTTTTTAAAAATTATGTAAATTATATTATAAAAATAGGATATTACAAAAAAAAATTATTTTAAATGTTCACCAAAGATAAAAAATTATTTGACGGGAATATACATTCTACTATTTACAAAAATAATAAATCAAAATTTATTATTTTCTAACTTATTTTCAACAATACAATCAAAATTAGAAAATGATTTCTAACTCATTTTTCCATAATACAACTAAACATCATAGAGTAATTTTTTTTTAAATAATTATTTTTAGAATTCGTGTTTTAATAGATATCTACTTTTTCTAGAAATAAATGAGTAAATAAAACATTAGAGTACATCATATCTCTCACATTAATGTACTTTTACAAAGACTCACATTACATGCAAGTTGAACTTAAATTTAAAATATTATCGTAGATTGGACACTAATCATCATGACATGACAACACCAACCAACATGTTCAAAACTTATCTTCTAAACAAGCTGGAATTTACTAAATCAAATTGGTATCTTTTTTTCCAAATAATAATAATAATAATAATAATAAAGACATAACTTTATCTTTACGTTATTAACAAAAAAAAAAAAAAAAAAAAAAAAAAACACTAAGGGGAGAAGTTATATTCTTTATATGTAGATATCAATATTAGTGCTAGTTTTTAAACTTTAATTGCATGACAACTACAATATAGATGTTATTTAACTATAAAAAAAGTATATGTTTACCTAATCGATTTTTTTACATATATATATATATATATATATATATATATATATATATATATATATATATATATATATTTGAATAATAGGTTACATTTTAAAGTTTGATTTATTAGACATATTCAGAGATTGTTCTTTTCATAAAAAGAGTTTGTAAAAAAAAAAATAGTCTTTAGTAAAAAATAAAAATACGACCTCAATTAAATAAAAAAATTAATGAATAAATGTGTATAGATATTGTATGAGTAGGATTTGATATAACAGGTATGAGCTGAGTAAAAAAAATAGACAAATGATTCTTAGTGGATAATGTGTAGAGTAATAGGTGTAATGTTTTTTAGTGGATAGGATATGAGATTAATTTAATAGACCAGGTATCCAACTCATTGTAATACCTAGTTCAAGCCAAATTAGAATAAAAATTTTCTTTTAAAATCGACCTAGATTTCCTTATATAAAAATATCCAAAGAAAAATATAAAAATCAAGAAAAAGAAGAAAGAAAAAAAGAAATCAGAGGGGAAAAAAAAAGGAGAAGGCCTCGACTACCGGGCGCGCTACGCCCATGTCTAGCTTTCCCAGCCTTTTTTTCTTGGTTTCATATTTTATATTTTTTTATAATATCACAAAATAACACAAAATTTTTACCTATATTTTACTTTTCTAAATATGTCAACCAGAACTTTATGAATCAAAATTTGTAGCTCAATTTTTTTTTACTAACACAAAATAATTTCTCCATTTGTCCAAATCTTTTCTCCATACTGTCCATGCTAATTGATGTTCTTTTAATATATACAGTGTACGTTTCTAGGGAATTTGCAAGAACATGCACCTTGCAAGGTCGGATGTCCGAACGATATGCAATGAAGAGAACATGGAACTGATTGAAGGAGGTTGATACAAACCCTAACCATAGTATCTGGTCTCATAATACTTTGTAATAGTTATTGTGCAACATGCAATACTAGTTTAACTTCTCAAACCATGCCAGTAAATACTAACAAAATGTCAAGAATGTAAAATTCAAGCGGTAAACTATGTGCAAAGCATTTCCTCGGTGTACAAATGAGCAGAGTAAGTCATTATATATTAATATCATGATAGTAATTAATGCTATAATAAAAAACTTAAGCATCAAAACTTGGGAGTATTTGAAATTGTCATTGACCATATCACAACATGCTATGTTATATTAGCATTCCAACTGGTCAGCACCCCAAAACTCTAATGTAAAAAAAAAAAAAAAAAACATCAAATTCACCAAAAAGGTATTAAAAAAAATAAAAAGAAAAAAACTACAAAAACAATTGGTAAGAGTGTGTTTTTGTAATTTTTTCATCACAAATAATAATAATAATCTGGACCTTTTTGCTCCATTCCCTTCACCTTCATCCCCACTTCCTCTACTGTGTTATAATATGTAACTTAAAATCTTTGTCGAGAGAGTCGTTGGATTTGAATGGAAATGATTTATTTCTTAAAGACCCCTACCCCTATCTCCTTGTCATGATTTGTTTCTTATTCAACTAAATTGAGGGTTGAAAATATCATCAACGTTGACTTATCCTCAAAGTGCTATGAATGTAAACAAACAAGTATCCTCCCTTTACATTTTCTGTTTATTAGTAAAGTAGACAATTCTCGTATAAGGTCCCTAATAAATATGAAATATTAGATCCACATTAAATAAAATTTTGGTATAAACTTTTTTAAAAATTCAACTAATATCAATTAATATTCCTACACTATGTATAAAAATATTAAATACCTTATTTTGGTCAAAAATCCATATTCTTGAAATCCAAATTAATCATTTTAATAAAATACCTTACATTAAATTAAATTGAACCATGTCTCTTATTTTTGTTAAATTCCTTTTAGAAATTCATATAAAAATTTATTTAGGATTATTTCATTTTCAAATATTCCATACAATATGGTAGTATTATTTGAGATTGATTTTATTTTAAAAAAAATTTAATTATCATGTATCACATTCAATTAGAAAATAATCCATGAAAAGTGACTATTAAATCAAGATTTAATGCCATTATTTTTATAACAATTTCGGAGACTAGGAATTCATTCTAAAAATTCATATAAGCATTTAATAAATTCATTCAGACCTTTAACTAATATTTTGGCCATTTAAAACATTTTTTGGACTTAAGGAACTTTGATTCCTGATTTATTTAAAACTAACCCATTGAATGCCCTTATTCCCTAACCATTAATTTCCTTCTATGCCTTAACTTTAGTACCCCTTTTGTCATCCCTTTTTCAATTTCTTACCTTTTTATCCTTAACTCATTATTTGTTAAATCAAGTAATTATCTAAGCATCACTTGCATTATACCTTTAATTCATCCCCTTTTTCCATAATTATTTAATTCATTTAACCATAT